GAAGAAGAACGAGTACATGAAGTTATCAGAAAAAAGTGATGGGGAGATATGGGAGGAGTTGGAGGGGAGGGAGTGGACATGGATTTGATCTAAACACCTTATATGCATGTATGAAATTCTCAATAAATTATTTATTTAAAAAATAAAATAAAATGAGTACTTGTAGCCAGGCATGGTGGTGCACGCCTTTAATCCCAGCACTCAGGAGGCAGAGGCAGGCAGATTTCTGTGAGTTCAAGGCCAGTCTGGTCTACATAGTGAGTTCCAGGACAGCTGGGGCTAACAAGGAGACCCTGTCTCAAAAAGACCAAAAAAAAAAAAGGAACATGAGTACTTGTGAAAATTCAATGAACCTAATTAAACTAGCAAAGAAAAACATTTATATTTTATTTAGCATCTGGAAGAACTTTCTTGCTTTGTGGCGACCACTTCCAGGGCAGGTACAGAAATGAATAAAGAGAAATGAGGAGACGGAGGAGTCAGAACGTGCACATTCCTCTTCTTAAAACTCTTGGCTACAAGTAGACGACAAGAGATAAAAGTTAAGAAGAGTATTAAGTTTTCAAAATTTAAGAAAAATAAGCATTTTTATGTGAGCAGTTTCAGGAAAATGATTAAGTAACAGAAAATGCAGAACAAAAGAGAGAGGATGGTTAATGAAGCAAAGCCTCTGAGGAGATGGGAGGGAAAGCAGGTTTTAATTTTTCTTTTTTGAAGATAGGATCTCACTCTGTAACCTAGGCTGTCATGTGTCATGGAATGCACTGTATAGCCCACGCTGGCTTTGAACCCATGGGTATGCCTGCCTCAGCCTCCAGAGTGCTGGAATTATAGCTGTGAGCCACCACAGGCCATTTAGAAAGTAGATTTCAAATGTTTGCTCTACAGAAGAGAACATCATATGATGTGGGAGAGGCATGTATCAGTCCAGAGATAAAATGAAGTAGGAGCCTAGATCATAAGGGAGCTTGATTACGGAAAACAAAGGATTCACACGAAAGTATTGACATATACTACAACACAGGTGAACATCAGAAACATCACCCTAAGTGAAAGAAACGATCACAAAACATGACCAATTGCCTAAAGCTAGAAGAGTTAGAAGGTGGTGGTAGCGAAAGGGTAATGGGTGTCCTTTCAGAGTAATGAGTGTGCCAGAAGTAATGGCTGTACAGCCATTGAACCATCTATTTTAAGTGAGTTAATTTTATAGTATCTATGGTATTAAATTGCAATAGGTTGATGCCAAAAAAAGTATAAAAAATGTCACAGGAATAATTTATGATAGTGGTTTCAATAATAGCTATATGACTATAGTAACTAATGTATATTAATATGATAAATATAAAATAGGTGCCGGAGAGATGGTTCAGTGGTTAAGAGCACTGACTGTTCTTGAAGAAGACCCAGGTTTGATTCCCAGCACCCACATGGTGGTTAATAACTGGCATAACTCTAGTTCCAGAAGATCCAGCACCCTCTTCTAATCGCCACAGGTGCTGCACAACATCACCTTCTAACTCTTCTAGCTTTAGGCAATCGGTACTTTAGTTTCTGTCTTTAGATTTGAATATTTTGGAATTCTCAAAGAAATAGAATTATGTAATACATGACATTTTGTGAAGCTTCCAATCAGCTTTTTAATGCTTAATTGAAATGAATTGATACCCAAAGATTACCAATTCTTTTTTAATTTTTGGTCTTTATGAGACAGGGTCTCCCTGTAGGCCCAGCTGCCCTGGAACTCACTATGTAGACCAAGCTGGCCTCAAACTCAGAGATCTGCCTGCCTCTGCCTCCCAAGCACTGGGATTAAAGACATGTACCATACACCTGGCCTATTACCAATTTTTTAAAATGAAATTGATTAAAACAAAGAAATACCTGAAAAGCAAAAAAACTCAGATTATGTAGACATCACATCAAACAGAAAACTGAAGCAAGAAGAATATACAGGCCAGTAGGGAATTAAGCACAGCAGATTAAGGGACCAGCCAGGACCAATTAGTCAAGGAGCATGGAAACACTCAAGAAGGGACATCTTCTTAGAAAGTGCCGTGGGGTTGCTGGGGGAGAAAAGTCATCAATGGTCTTACCCAAAGAACCCTGTGACCCTGTGAGCTACAATACCAACCTGCCACACAAAATTAACTCACTGGTACAACAGTAGCATGCTTGTTGGGGGATAACTGTCTACTGATTGGGATTAAGGTCTGCTCCACAGAAGGAATTCATACCTGCCACTGAAACCTGGTCAAGAGCCCACAGCTAGGGAGGCCATAAGCCATAGAGAAAGAATCTACTACTGTTGCATTGCTAAGTGGACATGGTGTCAAACTGCCTTCCAAATAGTTATATTTACACTCACAAGTTAATGCTGCTTGCAGCCTTGATCAGAGGAACAGAGAAGTTTCTGTATGTAGTGGACAACAGTTAAGGCAGGGACTCATAAGAACCCATCAAATTGCTGAGAATAAGTGACTCAGATATAGTCTTAGAGTTTTGGATGCTCAGCTATAAACAGGACATCTATATCATGGAGTCCCCCTCCATGACTCAGGGGACATGGTGGAAGAGGGGGTAGAAAGAATATAAGAACCAGAAGATGGGAAGGAGTGTTGTGCAACACTTTCTTCTGGGCGTGGCATGGCTGTTGCACCCATGAACTCACAGCAGCAGTGGCTACCTATGCAAAACTGAGCCCTCAGCATTCCATCAGAGATGGGGGAGGGGTTCCTAAATCGTCATTCCTTAAGGAGATAATTCCCCACCCATGCTCATGCAAGCAATCCTAATGAAGTGCAGTCCCCACCCCCACCACACACACACAAAGGAAACAAGAAGAGGATTGGCTGAGAAGAAAAAGGGGTTCAGTGGAAGGGATAAGAAAGGATAATGGGAGGATTAAAGTACA